TGAATGATATTAGTGGTCAAGCCTTTTTTTTTCCCCCCCTAAGCAAAATCTTATGCAAAGGGCCAAGACAAAGAAAAATTTTGGCTTAAGTGGGGTGGAGATCCAGGATGGTCCCATTGGCATTGTCCTGCCCGTGCTTCACCTGTACCCCGATGGTCTTGAAGGGTCTCTGGAAGATGGTTTGGGAAAAGCCAGCGCTCTCTGAAGACAGAGATCACATGCTGGAATCGGGGTGTTCTGGCAGGGCCTACCACATACGTCACTGAAGGAGATTGGGGTTCTGCGAAGACTGCTCCGTCCGGGGGGTTTGGGTTTGGGAAGTGGAGACAAGCTGGTTAAGGGGTGGTTTTAGTTTTCCTAATGGGTGCGGGCAAGGAAAAGCAGAGGTCCCTGGCCTCACTTAGCTGGTCTGCTGCTGCTTCCTGCAGGTACCACTGAGGCATGGCTGTGGTTGGCAGTAGGAACTGGGGATCCAAGAAAAGTTCCAAAATAGAATTTCAGGAAAAAGTGAAAAGTTTGCAAGTGAAAAGTTGCATACAGGGCATCAGGAGCAGAAGTGGGGTAACGGAGAGTGCACAGATGACAAGCACTGTTGGGAACAGATGAAGTTTGAGGTGCTGGCTGGGCCTTTGAATGGACAGAGAAGTGGGGGCTGGAAGACAAGAGTGTGGGGAACCTGAGATGGAGGTGAGGATGGAGGTGAGGAGCAGAAAGTGCCCCAAAGGTAGAAGGAATTGTTGTAGGGTGTCCAGATGGAGGTAAGAGTGGGGTCCAGGGGTGTATGCTCAGTGGAAGCAGAAACTCTATGTAGACTTGCAGGGGAGAAGGGGGCTGGGTGAGGCCCCAGTATGTGTGTGTGTGTGTATGTGTGTGTGTGTGTTCTCCTTATGAATATTAGCCCTTCCTTTCTCTCTTTCCTAGCAGGTAAGGGTTCCCTAGGCAAGGGGCAAAGTGGGGGAGGAGTGACAGCCAGACCAGGGAAGGTTCCAGGTGGCTGCAGTCTGGCCTGTGCCCTGATATAGCCCTGATACAGGGCTGGTCAGAGCTTTCCACAGGTGTTGGAGGTGAGGTGACAGGGGAAGGCGAGAAAAGATCCTCTAGAAATGCAGTCAGTAGGGATCACCCCCGTGGGCCACCACCTTTCGCTGTGACCTTGCACAAGTGCCGTATTTCTGATTTTGTTTATTTATAAAAATGGGGAAGTCTGCACACATTCGAAAAAATTTCTCAGGCTCAACCCAGTTCTGAAATTCGGTGATTTCCCACCAGCGTTCACTTAACCTGGAAGGGACTGTGGCGGGGACTGGTGAGAAAGAAGTTCAGCGGGTGGGGCAGGGCCCATGGGTCCATCTTCCGCCAGGCAAACCCCTGCCCTCCGGAAGGTGTTTTGCATAGGAAATTGCGGGGGAAAGAATAAGACTCTTACTGGTCCTTAGGATAACCTCTCAGCCCAGGACCCCGCTGAGGAGACTCTGCAGGGGAAGGCTGGTCAAGTGCACGGGGCTGAGGTGGGGGGGGGGGGGACGCAGTTTCATCAGGTGTGCCCCTGATTTGTCCGCCCCAATCCCAGGCCTCCAGGAAGGGCTTGGGAGGGTGCCAGGAGGAGCCGGCTCAGTGAGCCAACCCAGGGAGCCGGCCCGGGGAGCTAGCTGCTGGAGGGTGAGGAAATCCTGGTCGGGGAAGCCCTAGCGGCCGCGGCTCCAGAGCGCCCTCTCCTTGGGCTCTGGCCCTCCGGCCGGTTATTTCGGACCTGGGGACCCCGGGCCGGGCCCTAGGTGCCGCGGGGGAGCCTCGGGAGTCCACGAGCTGCTATTTTTAGCCGGCGCGGCGGGCGCGAGGGCGCTATTTATAGATCAAACGGGCCGCGCTCCCTGCGTCAATGGAACCCCGCGTGCGTCACCCGCGCAGACATTCCAGCCCCCCTGGCCCCGCCCCCCCGGGCTCCCCGGCCCGCGCCGCCTCCCGCCGGAACCGCGCCGCCCCCCGCGCCCTTGTATGGCCAGGGCCGGCCGGCCGTGCGTCAGCGGCGCCCCCGCCCCGCCCCGTGCGTCACGGAGCGCTTAAGAGGAGAGTGGGCTCCGCCGGGGAGCCCCAGCGGCGGCTGCTGCGAGAGTTAGGGGAGCGTGCAGGCGGCAGGAGCAGGAGCGCACTCGGCGGCAGGCATCGACAGACTCGGGGTGCTGCTGGTCCCGGGCTGGGGAAGCAGGAGCCGGCCGGGTAGGTACCCCCGCTGGCAGCGTGCAGCTCATCGGCGCTGCTGTCTTGGGTTTGCGGGGTGTTGCATGCAGGAGATGGGTGGGTGTACGCGCGGGTAATGAGGATGTTGTAGGGTGCAGCTCTGGAGTGGACGAGGAGCAGTTGGGGACGGAGTAAGAACCCAGGTTGGACTAGGGACTGCCTGGTGCTGGGGATGAGGTCTGTGCAAGGTGGAAGCCTCAGGGGGTTGGGGTTGGCGCCAGGAGTCGGGACTTGTCCAGTTGGGAGCTGTCTGTAGCTCAGCCTCCCGGGGTACTCAACGGGGCACCCCGCGCCCTGGAGTGAGGTGCTTGATGATGGGGTTTTCAGTACCGCGGGGGGGGGGGGGCGGGGGAGGGGGGCGGCGGGAAGGGACAGAGAGCTTAAGCTGCTGGGAACCGTTGGATTTCCAAAGGGGTCTCCCTCCTCCCAGCTTGTCAGCCCCCTCCCCGTGCTCCTGGCACTTTTCTGAACACGTAAGAAGCTGCAGCTTGGCTTGCAGGACAGACAGCCTGAAGTTTCTGCCCCAGCTCTGTTAGCAGACCTCGGGTGGCCCACGGAAACGGCCAGCGTTGGTGGCTGAACGGTGGAGGGGGTGCCGTTGCTTGATGGGATCAGAAAGTCCCCTTGGGGCAGGAGCAGGGTCTCTGGAAGAACAAGGAGCTGGTTTTAGCTGGAGCTTGGATCGTGTGTGTGTGTGTGTGTGTGTGTGTGTGTGTGTGTGTGTGTTACGGGGAGACCCTGGTCCCTGGGGGTCCTGGATGTCCGTGACCAATATTGGGGTCTCCGGTGTGGTACTCTCTAGAGGAAACCCCAATCTTCTACCTCCGGAGTCACGGTTGGATCAGACAGGTAGGGTGCAGCCTGAGGCGGTAGGTTCAGCACAACAGGTGCAAGCCACATTGTTGCCAGGACCTGCCTGGAGCCGGATTCGCCCCCTCCCTCCTCCAACCCCGCCCCTTCCTCCTCCCTGTGGGACTCTGCTGCCGTCTCCACCCCCATGTGGTCCGTCTCTTGCGCTTTTGAGTACCTGCATGGGCGCGGGGGGAGGGGGGGGAGGGGGTAATAGGTTTGTGTGTGTGTGGGGGGGGTTGATCCGGATGTGGGACGTCCAAGTGGAGAAACAGGATTTGAATAAAGCTGGACCGCCCAGCCCTTCGTGGCGGCTGCCTCTCCTCCGCCCCAAACCCATCCCTGCCCATGCCTTCCCAGGGCAGGCAGACGTGGCCACTTATCGCTCGCAGGTGCTGCAGACAGGTGCTGCCGGGTGGGTGGGGCCAGGGCTTCCTGGGGCTCCGTTGTCTGGGTGGCTTGTGGGAGGGGTAGGTCAGGGTGGTGCTACCCTCCTCTAGGGCCCCCGGAGGTGGGAGAAAGGCTGGAGGCCGAGGACTCTTGGGGTTCTTTGCCCCTTCCCGCTGCCCCCCCCCCCCCCCCTTGATGATAGCGCTCTGTGCCAGCTTGCTCTCTTACCCAGCGTCCCTCCCTGACTGGGGAGGCCGGAGCTGTGCAAACCCCAGGCGTGGAAGTGGGATGGGAAATTGTCCTGGAGCCGCTTGGAACTTAGGGGTCCCCCGGAGGGATGCTTCTCTGGTCCTCAGGATTGGGGTGGGGGGTGGAGGGTGGGGGTGTCACCCCATTGTCTGAGCTCCTGAAGCTCTCAGAGCACAGACACCCTTTCACGGAGGGACCCAGGCAGGGCAGGGTGTCTTCTCCCTGCAGAGCCACTTCCGGTCTCCTGGTGGACGCCGAGGGCCCTCTTATGAAAAGTACAGAGAAAAATGCTTGGGGGGAGCAGAGAAATTCCTCTCGGGGACTGTCCATTCTCCCGGACACCCAAGGGGCTGTTCTCTCCTCCCTCCTGCCTCCTCTCAGCCTCTCTTCATCCTGTGGCCTTTAAAGGTCTGGAGCCAGGTTCCCCGGTCTCCTAGGGAGCTGGGGACGGGGCGAGGAGTCCTGGGGCCAGGTTCCCCGGTCTCCTAGGGAGCTGGGGACGGGGCGAGGAGTCCTGGAGCCAGGTTCCCCGGTCTCCTAGGGAGCTGGGGACGGGGCGAGGAGTCCTGGGCTGTCTTCCTCTTTGCCTCTGGGAGCATCCCAGGCCAGATGGCAGGGCCGGTGGGCATGTGGGACCTGCACCCTTTGCTCAGTATGCATTGTGGGGGCAGGGGTACGAGACAGGTTCATTGCTGCTCAGGCCTTTTTCACTCCCAGCGCCTCTTCCATTTGCAGGATGTCCTTCCCAGGTACTGGGGGGCAGGGAGGGGGGTGTGGGGAGGGAAGAGGGGGTTTTTGCAGAGGCTAGGCTGTGCCTGGGAATACTCGAAGTGCCAGATTGGAGAAACAGCCTGTCTGCTCCCGGGGACTGAGCTAAGGCCGAGCCTGGCTGCTTCTCCCACCCACCCTTCTCCCAGCCCCCACCCATGCCTTCCCCGGCGGGCGAGGGAGGGCAGGGCCCTGGAGGAACACAGCTTCCCCCTGTTCTGACAGAGAGATTCTGGCCGGATGCCTTCCCCAGGGCTCCCAGGGCTCCCAGGCCGGCTGGGTGTGGCAGGCCTTCCGACGGAGACCACTCTCGCAGGGCCTGTGCTCGGCGGCTTTCTGTGACGAGGAGGTGGAGATGGTCCTAGGGCTGATCGTGGCTCTCACACCTCAGGGTCTCACGTCTGGCTGGCATTTCCTGCCAGCTGGCCGCTCAGGGGTCTGTCTTGAGAGTCAGGCTTCGGGCTCCTCTTGCTGATGCCCCGCTGTGGTGTCTTCCCTCTCCAGAGATGCCCTGTATCCAAGCCCAGTATGGGACACCAGCGCCAAGCCCAGGACCCCGTGACCACCTGGCCAGCGACCCCTTGACCCCCGAGCTCAGCAAGCCCACCATGGACCTGGCCGGCCCCGAGGCGGCTCCCGGCGCACCCACGGCCCTGCCCAGCTTCAGCACCTTCATGGACGGCTACGCGGGGGAGTTTGACACCTTCCTCTACCAGCTGCCGGGGACGGCCCCGCCGTCCTCCTCGGCCTCCTCCTCGGCCTCCTCCACGTCCTCCTCCTCGGCCACCTCCCCCGCCTCCGCCTCCTTCAAGTTCGAGGACTTCCAGGTGTACGGCTGCTACCCCGGCGCCCTGAGCGGCCCGCTGGACGAGACCCTGTCCTCCAGCGGCTCCGACTACTACGGCAGCCCCTGCTCGGCCCCGTCGCCGCCCACGCCCGGCCTGCAGCCGCCCCAGCTCTCCCCCTGGGACGGCTCCTTCGGCCCCTTCTCGCCCAGCCAGACTTACGAAGGCCTGCGGGCATGGACAGAGCAGCTGCCCAAAACCCCCGGGCCCCCCCAGCCCCCGGCCTTCTTCTCCTTCAGCCCCCCCGCCGCGGGCCCCGGCCCCAGCCTGGCCCAGAGCCCCCTGAAGCTGTTCCCCGCGCAGGCCGCCCACCCGCTGGTGGAGGGGGAGAGCTACCCCATGCCCTCGGCCTTCCCGGGCCTGGCGCCCGCCTCCCCGCACCTCGAGGGCCCGGGGATGCTGAGCGTGCCCGTGGCCTCGGCCAAGGCCCGCAGCGGGGCGGCGGCCGGCAGCGAGGGCCGCTGCGCCGTGTGCGGGGACAACGCGTCGTGCCAGCACTATGGCGTCCGCACCTGCGAGGGCTGCAAGGGCTTCTTCAAGGTACGGGGCTGCCCCGGGCGGGGCTCTTCGTGAGACAGGGGCGGGGGGGGGGGGTGGGGGGGGACGGGACGGGCTGGCCGCTCACCCCCCTGGGTCTGTGGGAGCCTCCCGTAGGCTCCCCTGGCTAGTCCCTCTTTTCAGGAAAGGGTCCCCAGGAAATGGCGAGGGGCTGGGACCTCTCACGTCTTAGGGCGCACACTCACTGCCGGGGGGACTGCGGTGTGATGGGGAGAGGAGGGTGAGAGAGGGGCAGAGGGTGTGGGCTGCAGGAGTCCTCAAGAGGGAATGTGCTCATGGCCGGCCCCTGGTCTCCCGCTGCCCATCCTCGGCGAACCAAGGCCTGGTGGGAAGGGGGCCCCGGGCGAGAGCTCGCTCGCTCTCCTCGCTGGTGTTCCTGGCAGGAGATGAAAGGCTCTGGGAAGAGGGCTTGGTGCTTGAGGGCTGGGGGTGGACTCGGGAACAGGCTGTGTGTTTGTCCCAGCACTGGGTGCCCGCTTAGCTTCCCGCCACCACCCCCCGCCACCCCTCCGCGGCCTTCTCTCCGTCGCCTCGAGGAAGGGACAGGCGGATGCAGGCCCAGGAGACGTGCAGGTGTCTGGGCTGCCGGGGAGCCCCTCGCCCCCAGTCCGGGGTCCTGGGGGTCTTCCTCCCGATGTGAGGGCCTCCCTCAGCGTCCCCAAGATGTTCTCCCCCCCACTCTTCCCCCCCCTTCCCCCCCTCCCGCCGCCCAAATGTTAGAAAAATAGCTGCGAACAGAGGGTGCTTTTGTCTGGGATGGCAGCAGGATCTGGACCGTCCCCTCCCCGGCTCCCCCTCCCCACACGCCCTGACAGCCTGTTCCGTGTCGCCCCCCCTCCAGCGCACAGTGCAGAAAAATGCCAAGTACATCTGCCTGGCCAACAAGGACTGCCCTGTGGACAAGAGGCGGCGCAACCGCTGCCAGTTCTGCCGCTTCCAGAAGTGCCTGGCCGTGGGCATGGTGAAGGAAGGTGGGTGGTGGGACAGGGCGTGGGACAGAGGTGGGCCTGGTGGGGGTGGCCGGCGGAGGCCTCGGCGTCCGTCCTGGCGGGCCGAGGGGGCGGGGGAGGGCGCCCCTGGACCCTATGTCTGCCCCACCTCTGGCCCACCTGCCTTGCTTACGTCCCTGTAGGGTCCCTCTGTCTCGGGGGCTCTAGGTCCTCGGTCTTCCCAGCATTGTGCCCGTCTCCTCCTCCCTCCCTCACCCCGGCCGTTTCTTTGCAGTGGTCCGGACAGACAGCCTGAAGGGGCGGCGGGGGCGGCTCCCCTCCAAGCCCAGGCAGCCCCCGGATGCCTCCCCTGCCAACCTCCTCACGTCCCTGGTCCGGGCGCACCTGGACTCCGGGCCCAGCACGGCCAAGCTGGACTACTCCAAGGTGAGCCCCCGGCCCACGCCCAGCTGGTGGACAAAAGGAAAGAGGAGCCGCCCTGTGGCTGACCGGATGGGAAAATGCCCCCCCTCACCCCCCCGGGGGGGGGGTGGCCGGTTAGAAGCGTGCGCTCCTCCCAGCGGCCTCTGCCCCGGGTGAACATGTCAGAACCGGGAGGCACGAGGTGGGCGGGACCTCCGTTCCCCCCCCCCCCCCCCCCCCCCCCCCCGCTGAGAGGGACCGGCCTCGGGAGCCTGGGGCGGCTGTGCGTGGCGGCCTGTGCTGACCCTCGGGCCGCCCCCAGTTCCAGGAGCTGGTGCTGCCCCACTTTGGGAAGGAGGACGCCCGGGACGTGCAGCAGTTCTACGACCTGCTCTCGGGGTCGCTGGAGGTCATCCGCAAGTGGGCCGAGAAGATCCCGGGCTTCGCCGAGCTGAGCGCGGGCGACCAGGACCTGCTGCTGGAGTCCGCCTTCCTGGAGCTCTTCATCCTCCGCCTGGCCTACCGGTGAGCCACCCGCCCGCCTGCCGCCTGCCGGCCCCTCCCGGCCGCCCTGCCCCGAGCCCCCGCTGACCACCGCCTGCCTCCCCCCTCCAGGTCTAAGCCAGCCGAGGGGAAGCTCATCTTCTGCTCCGGCCTGGTGCTGCACCGGCTGCAGTGCGCCCGGGGCTTCGGCGACTGGATCGACGGCATCCTGGCCTTCTCCCGGTCCCTGCACGGCTTGGCGGTCGACGTCCCCGCCTTTGCGTGTCTCTCGGCACTCGTCCTCATCACCGGTGAGTGGCCGGTCCTGGGGGCCGGGGCGGGCCTGGTGGGCTGGCGTCTGACACTTCCCCGGCTGCCACCCTGTGACGGGGGTGCGGTGCAGAGAGGGGCGGCCTCTGCTCGGAGCAGCTCTGCGGACGGGAGGCAGAGCCGGGGTCATGTGACTGCAAAGCCCGGGCCAGTGTGAGAGTGACCCCGAGTGACCCGAGAGCCAGACTGTGTCGGTGTGGTGTGTGGCCTAGGGCTGTGACTTATTTTTAAAGTCTTACTCGGGTGACGTTGCGTAACTGCACAGACGGTGAATCTTCACAAACGAAGCACACCCGTGTAACCGGCACCTAGGTCACGACACAGACATGACCAGTCTCCCCAAAGCCCTCCTTGTGCCCCCAACCCCCAGGGCTAACTCCATCCTGACCTCTGACTGTGCCGGTTCCCTGTGCCTCCTGTGTGCTTCCTGCAAATAGAATGATGCAGGATGGGCTCTTGGTGTTCAATGCAGGGTTTTTCAGATCTCACTCTTTTATTATTTATTTATTTATTTTAAAATATATATTTATTGATTTTCTACAGAGAGGAAGAGAGAGAGATAGAGAGCTAGAAATGTTGATGAGAGAGAAACATTGGCCAGCTGCCTCTTGCACACCCCCTACCGGGGATGTGCCCGCAACCAAGGTACATGCCCTTGACCGGAATCAAACCTGGGATCTTTCAGTCCGCAGACCGAAGCTCTACCACTGAGCCAAACCGGTTTCGGCTATTATTTATTTTTGTTAATCCTCACCCAAGGATATTTTTTTCCATTGATTTTTGGAGAGAGTAAGAGGGAGGAGAGAGAGGGGGAAACATCAATGTGAGAGAGACACACCCATTGGTTGTCTCCTACATGTGCCCCCATGAGGACTGGGGATCCTACCTGCAGCCCAGCTACGTGCTCTTGGCCAGGAATTGAACCCGTGACCCTTCAGGGAGTGGGCCAGTACTGTACCCGCCTAGCAACACCAGCCAGGGTTATGCTTTATTTTTTTTAAAGCACCAGAATCTGGCCCGTCCCATTTTGACTTAAATTTCCCAGGGGACCCCGCAGGGTGTGAGGCCTCTGTCAGTGTGAGGCCCACTGTCCCTCGAGGTGGCCTCTTAGAACAGTTTGGGGGAAAACACTGGCCTCGTCAGAACGCCTGGCTAGACTCGCCTTTCTTTTCCGTGATCTTGGGCAAGTCATTGGGCCTCAGTTTCTCCCCCGGGAAGATGGGATAATGAGGGTTGCTGCCTTCCTAACTTCTGATGAGGCTCAGCAATGGCTTCGTGTGTGTGTGTGTGTGTGTGTGTGTGTGGACGTGCTTTTGCAAAGCACTGGTGGAGCATGAGGGGCCGCGGTCTCGGAGGCCTGGGGGAGGCCGGGTCGTGGCGGGGTCCCGTCCAGGGTGGCTAACCCCGTGCCCTCCCCACAGACCGGCACGGGCTGCAGGAGCCCCGGCGGGTGGAGGAGCTGCAGAACCGCATCGCCAGCTGCCTGAAGGAGCACATCTCGGCGGTGGCGGGCGAGCCCCAGCCGGCCGGCTGCCTGTCCCGCCTGCTGGGCAAGCTGCCCGAGCTGCGGACCCTCTGCACCCAGGGCCTGCAGCGCATCTTCTACCTCAAGCTGGAGGACCTGGTGCCCCCTCCGCCCATCGTCGACAAGATCTTCATGGAGACGCTGCCCTTCTGACCCCCGCCCGGGGACACGCGTGTGCACCGTGTGTGCACGCTCCCTCGCCACCCCACGTGCCTTGAGCCCATGGCCCTTGGATACCCCTGAGTACCGCCCCCCGCCGGGCTGGAGCTGCAGACTGACTGGCCTCCTGGGAGGTCACCCCCTGGAAGCGGGGGATGTGTGCATGGGGGAGACCCCTACTATGTGTCTTACCCCCCCATCCCAGCCCTGGCCTTCATGTTTTTGTAAGATAAACCATTTTTAACACACACCGCTGTGCTGTAAATAAGCCAAACGCTACTGTAAATACAGGAAGGAAGAGGTTGAGGCTGGGGGGAGGGTGAGAGGGAGGCATGGGACCCACCAGCCTGGGCAAGCCTTCCCCAGTCTCTTCCTGCCGGCTCTCTCTCGCCACCTCCTTCCACATGTACATAAACTCACCCGAGGAGGAAGACAAATGACAGATTCTGACATTTATATTTGTGTATTTTCCTGGATTTATAGTATGTGACTTTTCTGATTAATATATTTAATATATTGAATAAAAAATAGACATGTAGCGGAAACTGGGGTTCTGTCTATTTCTGACACCCGCGGCCCCTCCACCCCATAATTACATAAGAGACAGGTGACTGGGTAAATCTTGGCCATTACCAGCCTGACCAACAGGCCTCCGTTTACTCTTCTGTAAAAGGTGGATAATAGCCGAAACTGACTTGGCTCAGTGGATAGAGCGTCAGCCTGCGGACTGAAAGGTCCCAGATTTGATTCCGATCAAGGGCATGTACCTTGGTTGCGGGCACATCCCCAGTAGGGAGTGTGCAAAAGGCAGCTGATCGATGTTCCTCTCTCATCGATGTTTCTATCCCTCTCTCTTCCTCTCTGTAAAAAATAAATAAAATATATTTAAAAAAAAAAAGGGTGGATAATAATGGCTTCGGCTTCCTGGGGCTGTTCTGCAGAAGCACAGAGACCAGAGCCTGACACTAGAAAGCCTAGGCTGACATCCAAGTCCTGCCCCGGGGCAGTGATCTCTGTTTTGGCTTCCAAGTTGGTAAAACAGAGGGGCGGAGCCTACCTTGTGTTGCTGCTGGAATACAGGGGTGTGGGTGTGGGGCCGGGTCCGGCAGCCGGAATGATGGTGACAGCTGTTTTTAGCATACACTTCTTCCACCCTCTTCTTTGGCATTCTTCCCCACAGGCCTCACGGCCCAGCGTCGGGACCCAGGTCGCTGGCAGGCCTTGGCTTCTTGGCAAGAAGATGTTCTGAGGTCCCTACCTGTGCCCAAGTGTCCCTGTGTAGGTGTTCCTTCCCCCAAGCTCATCAGCTGCTCGGTCAGCTGGATTAAAAGGCAGCTTTCCCAGCCCCAGCCGGTGGGTTCAGTGGTTAGAGCGTTGAAGGGGTCTCAGGTTCAATTCCTCAAGAGCAAGTACCTAGCCAAATCTGATTTGGCTCAGTGGATAGAGCGTCAGCCTGGGGACTAAAAGGTCCCAGGTTGGATTCTGGTCAAGTGCATCTACCTTGGTTGTGAGCACATCCCCAGTGGGGGGTGTGCAAGAGGCAGCTGATGGATGATTCTTTCTCATCAACATTTCTAACTCTCTATCCCTCTCTCTTCCTCTCTGTAAAAAATCAATAAAATATATTTAAAAAAAAAAAAAAAAAGAGCATGTACCTGGGTTTCGGGTTCGCTCCCTACCCCCAGTTGGGATGTATCTCTCTCACATTGATGTTTCTCTCTCTCCCCCTCCCTTTCACTCTCTCTGAAAAGCAACGGGGAAGATATCCTCAGGAGAGGATTAACAAAAAATGAAATAAAAAATAAAAATGAAATGCAGATTTCAAGACCACCTCACAGATCCAGCCCTGGCTGGGGAGGTCACTGGGTTAGAGCGTTGTCCTGATCCCTTGAAGTTGCAGTCAGGGCACCTACAAGAATCAACCAATGGAAGCCTAAATAGTGTGTGGCAGCTATTCTCATCACTAGGGGGCTTATGTAGGGACCAAGGTCTCCATTGCCCCAGCCCACTCCCAACCCTAACCCTCCTCAAGCACAGAAACGCTGGCCTGGCCTGCGCTCCGTGTCCGTCTGTGCAGGCTGAGGGCAGGATATGGAGGAGAAAGATGCAAAGGCAGAGGACTCAGTCCACCCAGCGGGTGGGAGATTTCCCAGGGATCTCTGCCCCTAGTCAGAGCACTGCCACCAGACTACCTCCCCGCTGACAGATGGGGACACCGAGGCCCGCTGAGGAAGAGGGGCTTCTGGGAGAGCCTCGTGGAGCTGAAGGCAGGGCTGAGAACAGACGCAGATTCCCGACCCCCCATGCCCTGCCTGCCTTGCCAGGGGCCGGTGCTGCCACATGTGCTTGGAGACCCACACACCCTCCTGGCCGTCACCGCGCACCCACAGGGCTGCCCACCTCACCACGTGTGGACCTTCAGGAGGCCCGGGCGGGACTGTCTTCCCAGAGCCCCGTGAGGGCATGTGGGGGGCTCCCCGGGGACCTACAGATGGTGGGGCACTGGGGAAGGCTTTGACTCTGTCCTGCTCCTGAGCCGAGCCCGGGGAGGGGGCATCTCAGCCAGGAGGGGGGGTCCTGGCCCAGGGACCCCGTGGGCTGGAAGGAGCAGGTGTGCGGCCGGCCCGCCTTCCGCGTCCTGGGAAGGACCCCGGGCTGCACGGCACTGTGTGCAGCGCAGGGGGCTGGATGCTGAGGGCCTGCTACCCGGGGCCTCAGGTTGGGGTCGATCTAGATTCATGTTTCTCAAAAGAGCGGCCCCCAGGCCGCCTGCAGCACAAGCACTGGGTGCTTGGTTAAGGTGACCAGATGATTTTTAAAACGCCACGAGACTCGGGACAAATTGTTAAAAATCGGGACTGTCCCGCCAAAAGTGAGATATCTGGTCACCTTATGCTTGGTACAAGGTTCAAGGTTCAAGGCCCCACCCCTCACCAATCCAAGTCTTTTCTTTTCTTTTCTTTTCTTTTCTTTTCTTTTCTTTTCTTTTCTTTTCTTTTCTTTTCTTTCTTTCTTTCTTTCTTTCTTTCTTTCTTTCTTTCTCTCTCTCTCTCTCTCTCTCTCTCTCTCTCTCTCTCTCTCTCTCTCTCTCCTTCCTTCCTTCCTTCCTTCCTTCCTTCCTTCCTTCCTTCCTTCCTCTCTTTCTTTTTCTTTTCCTTAAAAAAAATTTTTTTTTTTTTTATAGAGAGTAAGGGGGAGAGAGAGAAACATCAAGCTGTTGTTCCACTTACAGTGTTATGTTCCATTGCCCACGAGACTCCCTCTATGTTTGTGATCTCAAGCCCTCACGATCCCCCCCTGAGGAAGGGGTGGTTATCTCGCCTCACGGGCGGACAGCACAGCAGCCTGGTCAAGAAGAAGACTCTGGGGCCAGACTGCCGGGGTTCAAATCTCGGCTACAGCTCTTCCGGGTTGTGGGATTTGGAGCAAGCCACTTCGCCTGTTCTGTGCCTCAGCATCCTCACGGGCAGAGGGAGAAAAATCACTGCGCCTGCTCCATCAACCTGCCGTGGGGATGACAGGGACGAATGCCTGCAAAGTGGTTCGGACAGGGCCCAGCCCATAGCAAACGCACCGTAAGAATAGCCATTGTTCTTACAAAAGAGAATTCAGGTCTGGAAAAGGAAATGACTTTCCCAAGGTCACCTGGCTTGAAAAGTGGCTGAGCTGGTATCTCGCTACCTAACCACTGGGCCTCCCTGCCCAGGGCCTGGGACATAAGAGAAGTCCCAGGGGAGTGGTGGCTGCTGGGGTCCAGGGCTCAGGACTGATTTCTCCAGACCCGCCCTGCCCCGCCCCAGGGCTGGCCTGGAGGGTGGCCCTTTGCTTCCACAGAGCAACTGGAAGAACTGGCCTCCACGTCTTGCTAGGGGCTGAGAGGGCAAACAAGGGGGCATTGAGCTTGGTGGGGCCTCACAATGGCCGCTCTGTCCCCGGCTGGCCGGGGGCTGGGCCCGTTTCCGACGGGGACAATAGTCAAAAGGCAGTGACGCTGCTGGCAGGGCCTGGAATCCCAGGCGGGATTTTCCGAGGCCTCAAAGCCCGCTGTTTGTCCTCACACGGGACCCAGGAAGCCTGCCTCCCTGCCTCCCCCAGCCCACCCACGCTGGGCCCTGTGCCCAGGGGCGCTGCCCCCTCCCCAGCCCTAGGGTGCCACTGGGGAGGGGGGTGGCTTTCTGTCTAGGGTCTGGGTGGGCACTCTGCACCCGGGGAGCTGGGCCCGGAATGCAGGACATTGCTCTCCACCGGGGCTCCCGCGACCGGCACATGGTGGTGGAGGGAGATGGTGGGGGTTAGGAGCTTCCCAATGTCATGGGCAACCTGACCTCAACACTGCACCTGAGCTGCCCGGCGCCGCGTGGTGGGCTGTGCGTGTTTGGGGTGCGTGGCGGCGGCAGCCGGCTCTGGAGGGGAGCCCGTGAGGGAGCCGTCGGAGGCGGGAGGGAGGGCTTGGTGTGGTGAGCGGACTGTCAGCAGGCTGCTGGTGATGTTTGCTCGCAGTCACGAGGCAGCTGAGTGCTGAGGGCAGTGTTTGTGCTCATCACTGGATGCGGGGCCTGGGGGTTCCCAGAGAGTTTCAGGTTAAATCTGGACAAGCCCGAGGGCCCACCAAGTCCCTGACTGCAGCAGAGACCCCGGCTGCTGGGCTTTCTCAGGAGGCGAGGCCGAAGGGATGAGACTGTCCATCCGCCTCCCACCCTGTCCAGGCCTGGCCTTGCAGCCCCAGCGCTCATCCTGCAGCTGCTCGGACCCACCGGGGGCAGCCAGGCCTGGCCCGCACCTCTGTCTGGGGCCCTGCTCCAGGCTCTGCTTCTGCGGGCTCAGCCCCGGCTGCTCACAGCGGGGCCATCTGGGGAAGGCCCAGGCGGGCTAATGGGACTTTGAAACCTCCAGCTCCCTGGGCAGGGAGGCCCAGTGGTGAAGACAGGGAGTAAGGCAGAGCTGAGGAAAAGCCCCTCACCCCCACCCCAGTGTCTCCTTCCTCACACAGCCGG